CCAAAAAAGAATTCGTTCAGGATCTGTACGACGCTGCACTTTTAACGTCTGGAGTCGTTGGAATTTCGTATGCGGCGAAAACAATTGCGGGAAAAAGTTTAGGTGCACCGATGACGTTAGAAGGTGCGATGAAACTCGGTGTGGCCGTGGCGGGAAGTTCCGTGGTCATCGCGTATCTTAAAGACAAAGGTTACGTTCCAAAAACAATCGGTCAATAAATGACAACCAATCTAGTAGTCGATGGATTATTCAATGCGGTCGCTTTTGCAGGCGCGGGATTCTTATTTTCCCATTTGAATCAAAACGGATACAAGAAAGAAGTCAAAAGACATAATCATGCGCTGGAAGAATTAGCGGCGGCGAAAGAAAAATTTTACGAATCCGAAGTGAAAAGACGGAACGATGAAATACGACGACGGCAGGAAATTTTAGATGCGAATCACGATATCGAAGAGACGAATAAAGCATTGGATGCATTAAGAAATTATAATCGTCGACAGAACTTAAATCGTTGTCAGAACTTAAAAAAATTTCCTAGGTCGTTACGAGAAAACATTTTAACGTCGTTGCCTCGGTTCGGTTCGTTGCATTTCCAGACGAACTTATATTCTTAAATTCCAAACCGATTACTAATATTTTGTTACTACCATACGCAAACGTAAACGTTGTACGAACGAGCGTGCTCCGCTGTGTTACTGCGGTTATAACGACGTTACCACCACTTCCGTCGTAAAATCCATAAAGGGGTGAATAAGGTCTGGAACTTATTTCGAATCCACCAACACCGAAAGTGATGAATTTTGCATTTTTTCGATCGGTCACGGAAAATGTACCGGTTTCGTAAAAACTCGGAACACCGATCATTTGTGAAACGTCGTACTGAACGTAGTTTTTTCCGAGATCGTTTAGTTCACCAACCGCACTCACATTTTTTACGATCTCGGTCGTATTCGCCTGCTGTATCTTTTCGATCTCCGTTACTTTTTTTTTCAAATCTTCGGATTTGTCAAAGTAGTCGTATCCCATCAATATACTCATTTATTTAAATAGAAAATAAGCAACTCCCATCGATGCAACGGCTAAAATTTTCAAAGTGGATGGATTTTGTAAATTTCTCGTAGGACTTTTTGAAGTTTTCACAGGACTTGTCGAAGTTTTCACAGGACTTGTTGAAGTTTTTACAGAATTTTTATCAGGACTTGTTACCGAATTTTTCACGGGGCTTGTTGGTTCTTTCACGGAAGACTTTGTAAAATTCACCTCGTCATTTTTTCCGAAACTCATACCGTTTTCTGCCAACGTTAAAATATTATTGTAACCTTTCAAAGGTTTTTGTAAAATCTGCATGTCGGACGGAATGAGAATTAAACCTGGCATGATGGCGAAATTTAACACGACGTTCGTATCCGCGATCGCCGTACGCATGTTTCGAATGATCGTTGTGATATTATTCTGAACGATACTGTCTTTTAAAACTTTTCGAAATACATCTTGGGTCTGTAAACTTTTTGCACCTTGTCCTGTAATACTCCAACGGGTTTTGGCTTGCGCTCCGAGAACGGCGTAGACGTAAACTTCCAGACTCTGTTGAAATAACCGTTGTCCCAACTTCGTTAATCCGTGCGATGTTTTTGGAATGAATATTTTATAATCTTCCGTGACATTTTTCGGTAATCTTTTCGTTAAATAGTCGTACGCGATGTACGTTCCACCGTAACGCGTCCGGACGTAATGATGATTCCGGATTCTTGGTCGCGTATCGGCAGGTAATCCATAATACCATGTTCCAAGATTGGCATGTGTCGATGCGGTTCGTCGTTCCCACGTTTCGATCGTCGGCATGTATTTTTTCAAGATGTAAAGATCGTCTTCGTTTAAATAATGATCCATTAATCTTGAATCTTTCATGAATTTTTCCATCTGATAATGAACGTGAAATTTCATGATGGAGGTGATCAGATTGGAATCGGACAATGTATTATTCAGATGATTTTCAGAAATTCCAGATTTAAATGTCGCGATGTAACAAGCTGCCAACGATCTGAAATAAGAATTCTGATGATAGTCGAACAGGATTAAATTTACAAAATTTCCCGTTCCTGTGTACTCGGGTGTCGTATATTCTAAATCCACGGGAAAAAAATCTGTTTCCGAGACGTAGATTTTAAACATATGAAAATTTACGGCAAAGTCTAAATTCGGACGAAATATCATATCGGATTTAACATTTCGCCATCCATCTTTCCAATATAAATACTTGGTCCATTCTAGATTATGTAAGAATGTTTCGGATGTAATATCGTAACTGGTAAATTCGTCCACCTTGTAAGAAATTTCGGTCGAACTTAACGTTCCATCTTTTACAAATGTCACGGTTAAATTCAAACCTGGATAATGTAGCATTCGGGTATTTTTTAAGAAAATTAATCTTGAGTTTTTGAATTTCTAACGGATAATCTTTTCGAACCTCTTCGTAATTTTTTCCGTAATAGTCACGGAAAACTTGTTCTTCCCCTTCCATCTTTTATTTCTTAGATGATATACAAATCCATCAAGGCATTGCACGGTGTAATTCCATTGACGTTGGATCTTACGTCGAAATGAAGTTCGTGGTAAATCCCCGCATCGGCTTGCACTTCGCTTTCGATGTCGTTGTATTTCATCGTCGTTCCAAATAAAGGTTTCGTTCCGTCGATGGGAAGGGACGATATGATACTACTCGGATAGCCGTCGGGATTTATATTTTGGGACCGGTTCGCTAAATTACAACCGATCGTTACGTAACGTAATCCTTCGTGTATATCCACGGGATGTTGACCCGGATGTAATTCTGAAAATGTCGTATATCCCAACAGATGATTTAATTTCCACGGATTAAAAGACTTGACACTTTTTCCGAATTTTACCTGTATCCGTCCGTCTGGAAAATCTTCGACGACGAGACCGTGACTTTCTAATTTTTGACGCAATTGTTTAAACGTCCAGTATCCATGGTTCAACATGACTTTTTTCTTGTCGACGGAAAAATAATTATTGTAGTTTTTACGAATATTCTCGTACGTCCAGAATAAAGCAACCGTTTTTACATAGAGTTTGGATGCCGGTGTTAGAATCAACGGACTCTGTAATTTCATCGTAGTTTCTCCGTCCCGAATAAAAACTGTAATCTTTTTCATTTATTATAAACTATGGATACATTGGATCTTGGTTTACGCGAACTGTATTTTAACGTGAACGGTGGATACATGTCGATGGAAAAACTTTATCGGGATGCAGTGAAAGAAAATATTTCCGGTGTTACACGTGAAAAAGTGAAAAAATGGTTACAGACACAAGATACGTACGTCGTTCACAAACCACCGACACGAGTTCATTTTAAAACGCAACGAACGTATGTCGACGGACTTGCCCAACAATTACAATTGGATCTGGTAGATATGCAAACCTTCAGTCGTGCGAATAAAGGTTACAAATGGATTTTAACCTCCATCGAAATTTTAAGTCGGTACGCATTTGCCGTGCCCGCCTATCGAAAAGGAACGGAACATATGGTTCCGGCCGTTGAAAAAATCTTGGAACAATTTCACGAAAGATTCGGACGCTATCCCAAAGTCGTTCAATTTGACGAAGGAAAATAATTTTATAATAACGGAGTCAAAGGATTACTGGAAAAACACGACATTCATTATTTTTCGACGCGACTGACTGGGAAAAAAGCAGCCGTCGTCGAAAGATTCAACAGGACGTTAAAAACAAGAATGTGGAAATATTTTACCGAACGACAATTTACGACAAAGTCTAAAAAATGGATCGACGTCCTGGATAATTTTGTTGCGTCGTATAATCATTCCAAACATCGTACGATCGATATGAAACCTGCCGATGTGAATGAAACCAATAAAGATAAAGTCTGGACGCAACTTTACGGTTATCCGTTATCTCATTTTCCAGAACCAAAATTTAAAGTTGGAGATCGTGTCCGTGATCAAATCTATCGCGACACTTTTGTCAAAGGATACACTCCGAATTATACCGACGATGTTTACGTTGTGTCGGAAGTGTTTCGCGGTGATCCAAACATGTATAAACTAACCGATCCCGATCGTGAAATTCAAGGAAGATTTTACGAACACGAATTATCGTTGGATCTAAGTAAGAAATAAACTATGGCCAAATATATCGAACTGGACGAGATCGGACATGATTATGATTGGGATCCGTGGGAAGAGGATGAATACGATGATATAAATTTCGGCGACGACTTGCGCAAAACGACACTGGATGATTTAGATCGTCGGAACGATGAAGTATGGCTGTCTGATTTTAAAAGACAGAATGAAGGTGATAGGTTCAAATATAGAAAAAAAGAAACCAATTCCTTGTACACGACTGGATCTTCTGTCGGTATAAAATCCGAGTATATGAAAAAACTTTTTGAGAACGACTATAAACTAAATCCGAATGACGGACCTTATTCAAAAGATTTATTTTCCAGACTAAATATTATCGACGGATACTAGCTGTCATTTGATAATATTAAAGTCGCTTACATCGAAAAAAATGGGGAATACAAACTATCCACAAGTCAAAATGTAACTGTTACCGATAGTCAAAAAAATTTTAGATCTGCCTTCGAAAAAGCAACGGAAGAACATAAAAATAAATTCGTCAGTATTACTGAAGAAGAAGTTCCAGAGGGAAATTCACCAATCATCAGCGATATTTCCAACGACGTGCGCGATGAAATTCATCGCGAAAATATCGACGATAATCTTGAATTTCACGAACGTGTTTTACAGTTTCATCGCAACGGGAAATTCACCGAACAGGAATCTAGGGAATTGGTTGGAATTACCGTTCCCAAAGGTGAACCTAGCGAACGGATTAAATTTTTAAAAGTAGAACGTCAAAAACTGAAAACAGATTTTGATACCGAATCCGATGATGAACGTCAGGATATTTTTCGCGAAGCGTTAAAGATCGTCGATCAAAATATCGACGATGCAAAATTAGAAATGTGTGAACGTCCCGAATCCGAAGAAGGTGTGCATCGCGTTCGCGAAAAAGTTCGCGAGGATGTCCGAACGAGATTTGAGAAATTTAAAATTTGGGCCAGAGAAAATTTAGGAGTTTTATCTGCGATCGCTATTTCCATCGCCGGAATTATTACGACCGTCGTCGTCGCCGGGAAAAACACGTTGATCAGTGCTGCGAAAGGCGTGGGTGAAGTTGGAAAAGCATTGGGTAAAATTGCAAAGGCTGCACTTCCCGTGATCGTTCCCATCCTGAATATGCTAGCGACCGTTCTGAAATGGGGTGTAAAAGGAATAGAATTTCTTGCGAAAAACTTATGGATTCTTGCCATTCTCATTGCAGGATACTTGTACAATTATTTCAAGAAAAAGTAAAAAATTTCTTTTATTTCCATAAAATAAAAGAATGGAAACACGTACCCAAGAACTAAACCCTAGTTTTAATCGTCGATCCTGGACGGAATTAACGGGAAATCGAACAAGACAGTTGATTACGTTCAATCCAAATTCGGCCAAACCCGGGGAAGAAATCTATATAAATATTCCTAAACTCAAACCGGATTCTGTTCTCGTTCCCGATAGTATGGCATTGATCTTTGACTTTAAAAATGTCAACGAAAAATCATGGTTCCGGAACAACTTGGGAAAATTATTGCAAAAAAGATTAGAGATTCGTCTCGCCGGTGAAAAAGTCTACGATAACAGTGGTGAAAGTCTACTCGAAATTTATAAAGACTTGTGGATGGATGAAAAACAACGGGCGGATATGATTCAGGATGGAATTGCGGCCGAAGCCGTTCGCAAGAAAATCTCCAAAGACGATGAAGCCAATGTCGATGCCGATGCAACTGCACTGTTTGGAATCTTCGGGACGAAACAGCGGTTAAAAATTACAAAGATTCTAAGCGATCACGGATTGTATGCACCGTATCATTCCGCCAACGATCTTCAATATGTGATCACGTTACCACAAGCCTCCGAAATCATGAACGCACAAGGTGGTGAAACCGTCGATGGATATTCCTTGGAAAATTTAGAATTAGAATACGAATCTATCGAAAATGTGAATCTCGCAAAATAATCCGAGAATCTCTACGGAGCCGAACGTGAATTATCTTTTCAACATGCGATGTTGATGAAAAAGACCGAATGGGATAAAAGTTTAACGATCGTCAACGAAACCGTCAATCTTCCACGACGAAGTATGAAAGCCATCGTCATGCTTTTTACGGAAAAAACACCGACCGACAGCGAAGAATACGTCTTCCCGAATATCGACAGAGTCAAAGTCACGATCGAAGGTGTTCCAAACGTCGTGTACAGTCAGGGAATAACGAAGACGAGGATGTACGAAGAAGCCAAACGTCTTTTTGGTACCGATCCAAACGGACAACAATCCCTGATCAAATTTTACAAAGATAAAAAATTTGCATTGGTCATCGACTTGCGGACGGCAAACGATGCAAAAACGTATGGAAATGGAGTGAAGATTCAAAATACACAATCCGGAATTTTAATCGAAATTACGAAAAAAGCAACGACTGCCAACGTCATATGTTACACGTTCGTTCTTTCGGACGGTGTGATTAAAATGGTCAACGGACAATTGAGTGGTGCGCGATACTAGAATTATAAGATTTTTTCATATTTTTTCTGAAAATATGAAAAATACCAAGGGGTCCCCGAAACGGGGAGTCCTTCTATTCTGTTTTTTCATCCTCTTCCTTCACATCTTCCGTACCTTTTCTTTTTCCATGCACATGTTTTATCAACGTCACACCGCCGCTTACAAATCCCAAGTACGGAATGTACGGCGATATTTTTTCCACGAGACTTTTCACGTCGCTTTTTAATAATTTGTCTTGATTTAATTCTTCTTTTAATTCTTCACCGCTATCGATCATACGAAGATTTTCCAGTAATCCCGAAAATTTTTCGATCAGGACATCTGTAAGTAGAACATTGGCTTTCTCACGTTGATTGCGGGTATATTCCTGCTTAATCTTAAAAATAACTTTTGGCGTTGCCTTTTTCAAATAAGCTTCGGATTGCTTGATTTCACCTGCATTCGATAACTGAATTAATTCGGCTCGCGTATCCTCGAATAATTCCTGTTCCGTCCTTTCGTGTGTCGTATTCTCTTCTCCTTCCATTTACTTTATTTCATAACGATACGGATGAATTAAATTTATTTCCAAGTACGAATACCTATTCTCTTTTAACTTTTCACGAATAGATCTTAGTTTCTGTGGATCCTCGTCCCCCAAATATTCGTCCAGAATAATTTTCATGTCCTGTCTGTTCGGATTGTAAAACGTTACCAGTTTCTGAATATTTTCACGGTACAGTTTGGCAATCGATGTCAACTGTTGTGTGATCACGATCGTTGAAATCTTACGATGACGTGCACCGAATCCTAACGATACCAATTCGCTCGTACGATTCTTAACGGATTTTGTACTGGCAGCATCATCCAGGATAATCAATGCGTTATCTTTTCCCGACGCATAATTCACGACGGATTTTAACAAATCTTCCACGTCGTCGTGATGACACGGAATGACAAAAAAGTTGGGATTGTCGTAGATAAAATTCCGATCGTATGTCATATTCCAATGATACGTTGGACAGATTAAAAAGATTTCGGAAAATTCATGAAAATACGTCGTCTTCAACTCTTCGATCAGATAATGTGTTTTTCCACACGCCGTCATTCCTACGATAATCATATTAAACGGGTCCATTTATAAAAAAGATGGGATGTCTTTCTTCAAAATCTAAAAGTAGCGTAAAACATAATAAGAATCATAAGAGACGTAAAATGTTTAGTTTAGGATTTGGGTTCGATCGTGGGGATGCAACGACGAGCATTCATACACAGATCGGATATGCTAGTACGACCGTTAAAAAATACGATAAAACAAAAGATGAAATTACTTCTGTGGAAAATCCTATTGTGGACGAGTCTA